GAATAAGATCAAAAACATTATACTATAATAATGCCAAAACACATCTCTCAATATATTCGAAGTAGTACACCATAAAACTCAAAATTCACACAATTCTTTTTGCTCGGTTTCGTCAAAAAAAACACATTTAGTTCAGAAGATGTTATTTCACAATATTGTTATTTTAGCCAATACTATTTCAAATTAGGCGTTCGCAACCAACGTAATTCGCACGCATTCACTAACTCAGTCAGTCAATCGTAAGTAGAAATGTAATCGATAAAATCAATATCAATCGTTTTCTCAAGCATTTATCCAATCGGCTTATGCTATTATGTGTTAGTGTTAAAGAAGTATTGATCAAAATCTACTATGTATATGCATTTATGACTCATTGAATTATTGAATAAATAATTAAATAATTTACTTCAACCAATCATGAGAATAGTGCTTCAGTCAGTCAGTCAGTTATAATAGTCATGAATAAATCAAGGACATTTTATTTGTCTTAATCTAAATAAATTATTGAGTTGTATAGTTTGCTTCATTCATCGTGATATAAGCCAACTTCCATTGGTGCTTTTTAAGTCATGATGAAAGTTATTTGCTCTATAAAAAAATGAGTTAATCTTCTCAAATACTTACTACTCTATTTGAGAATAGCATTTATGGAAATTTATTACGGTGGAAAATTGGATTACCTTACTTAAAAATAAGAAAGATTAAACCAATCAATTATTTCTGTATGCGAATATAGTTTATTAATGAAATCATAAATCAATCATTGTTAGACCACTATTAGAAACCTCGAGGCACTGGACGGCCGTTTCATCCTGGTATGCGCATCCACGACTCCCGATAGCCGCAAGATGTGCTCACTAGTAACTAGCTTCGTGAGGAAAGTCTCGGAGTTTTAGGGAGATGTGAGTAGTGGAGTTCAACCCTGACAAGTGTAGGCAGTAACTACCGAAGACAATGGGTGAAGTTGCGCAAAATCCCTAGATTGATCAGAGTTAGACATTAAAAGCGTTGGATGCTGGCTTAGTTGTCCAGAGGTTAAGCGTTCGCATGCAAGACAGTATGTCCAGGGTTCGAATTCTACAAGTAGCAGGAGTCGTGGATGCGTACTGCTGATGAGTTCCATACCAGGCTGAAACAGCTTTCCAGTGCTTTTGGGTTTCTAATGGTGGTCTAACAATGATTGATTCATGACTTCAGTAATAAACAACAATCTCCATAACTCTAATTGAAAAATCTAGTTTTAAACATAAAACGAATTCAATGGTAAATGATTTACCATCAATCTTGATTGACAAATACTTTTTTTTTACAACAACCAACATTCGATAAACACTTCAAGTAACATTGTGGGCAATTTTATAAACTTATTCAGCAAATATTATAAAAACATGAAGATTGAAAAGCATATGAAAACTATGAAAAGATTATCCAACCAGTTGATCATAACAACTCGTTACGTAAGAATAAGAATTGGAATTAGGTTCAAGATTAAACAGTTGGATGTAAATGTTGAATGTTATTTTCTGTACAACAAATCTATACGTGTAATTAATAAAATAAGTGTAAAGAAAATCAGGTCATCAGATAATTACGACAGTAGAATCACGTAAAATGAAGCTATATGATTAAAATTGATAGGTGTTTTCACAAAAAGACGCTGAGCAAACATTTTGCGTACACAGAGATAGGGTTTATTGACCTGTTGTATGTGAAAGGTGAAATTTGGAAAAATGAGGCAAGTTTGATGGAAAATTTATACGTTTGAAGGCTAAATTTGTACAGTAGTTACTTTGTGTCTATCTTCTTTTTTTAATCTGCGATAGAGAGTAATGTTCAAAAATACGATTATATACTTATCCGATTCTATGTCCAATATGACTGACTTCACAAGAACTTTTGAACTGATTACGCGTTATAATGCATGACCATCCTCAATTGCCACATACTTCAATTTTCATATTTTCACAATACTCATTTAATTAGTCTAAAAATGATGAATATAACTTGACGTGTCTAGAGAGTGTTGCTTGGTGTAGACTGAAGAATTGTCAATTGTATTTAAGGCAAATCGTTTCTCATTGAATTCTTTTGATGTCAACACTAGATTTGTATGCAGATTTAACTGATTCAATCTTTCCTAATAAATTTACACCTATTCTCAGTTTAAGCTAAGATCATTTGATAAGAAGCACATTGATAAAACACGCTAAATTGGTGTTCTCCTTCTTGTAAGTCAGTCAGTCAGCAACAACGTAGAAATCAATGAATACGTACATCAGTTCAAGCTATTATCATACCACATTAACAAAGAGAGAGAGAGAGAGAGAGATGAAACTGTCAGTTCAAACCCCATGGTATTATAAATAGTAGTAGTATTACTGTTAATGCAAACGATTAGAGTTTGAAGGTATGATTCGAGCAGTATATCCCAGTGAAATAGATTTAAAAAGAGAAAAAAACTGTAATAAAGAATTCGGAAGATCAGAATTCGAGAGAACACAAAGAATAGGTGCACCTGAGCCATTCCAAACGATTTTCAGCCATGTCGTTCAAGGTCTTTAACCACCGGTTATCAATGTTTCGCGGACTACACTTACTAACATAGCACAGTCCAGTTGTCAGTGACTTTGTAGGTTTGTGCCATGTTTTGATCTGGTCATCCCTAACTTTCTTCCAGCCCACTCCTACACTGGAAAACATTACTTGACGAGGCAGTCGGTGGTTAGACACACATAACACGTTCCAAACACCTCAACTGATGAAGTTTCAATACTTCATCTATTGATTTGCCATCCCTATCTATTATTCGTTTCCTAACGACGGCACTGCGTACTCGGTTGTTCCAGGATACACGAATAATGTTTCGAAGATATTTATTATCAAATACTAATAACCTAAGAATATTTTTAACTCTTACTGGTCATGTTTCGCATCCATATTGTTGGACGGAGTGAACTGATGCGCAGTATACTCGTCCTTTTGTTAGCAGATGGATATCTTGCCTAGGCCATTAGTGACGAATGTTGGCAAAGGCCAATCGAGCCTTCCATAAGCGTGCCGAGATTTCGTCACACCAAGCCATCAGAACTGAAGACTCCCGAGATAAGTGAAGCGGTCAACACGCTCAACTGCTTCACTCCTTATCATTAGGTCAGGTGCAGATACAAACCAATTCTTAAACATTTTGCATTTTGAGGGGGAAAACCGCATCCGGAATATACTGCATTGTTACTTAGGGTACTTAGAAGACTCTGCATTTTGTCAGCGTCTTCACCAAGTAGAACTATGTCATCTGCATATTCTAAATCAACAGGCGAGTCTCTATGTAGAAGGTCAAATTTTGAAAAGTCAGATGATGAAAGTGTCGTCGCTAAAAGTATGCCAATGACAATGCGGAATAATAATGGAGAAGGTGGACAACTCTGACGAACCCCACTTGAAGTAATCAGTTCCGATGACAGTTCGTCATAATCACGGACTCGGCCGGTAGTATTCAATGAGAGAGCTTGAATAGGGATGATGTACTTTTTTGTGCTCCTTTCAGTGACAGACACTGTCATAGAACCTCCCAACCGACAGAGTCGAACGGAGCCTCAAGGTCAAGGAATACAACTACTATCGGACGTCGAAATGTGTGTCTGTGTACTAGGTACTGTCTAAGTGTGAAAATGTGGTCGATACAGCCACGTCCAGGTCTGAAACCAGCCTGGTTTTTTCTAGTCTGCTCTTCATGAGCTCTAGTTAAAGTTTGGATTCGTTCTCAAATGAATTAATGAAGATTTCAAATGTAAAGCAATCTATAAATTTTATAGCTCTTCTATGAAAGTTGTAGCATCCAAATAATATTTTCACATTCTAGTTAAATGATGTTACTTCTAGTCATACAACTGAAATATTTGTTGACGTCTTCAAATTTTATTGTTTAATATGGTTTACTGTAGAAAGAGAAAAATTAGATGTCTGGAATATTTCATATTTATTTTTTCGAAAAAGAACGCCAATGTGGAATTAAACTGAAATTGATTTTGAAATGGTAGGGTATGAAGATTTCTAGCTTATGCAGATGTTTTAGGGTATCTATGAAAATTTTTAAAGTCACACAGATCGATAAATTCTTAAATTTAAAAGTAAAAAATAGATTTCTCAATACTTGTATATCATTAGTTGTGTGTATCCACTAAGTTTTAACCTCATTACGATAGCCGTTTACAAAATCACTTAAGTTTCCATTGTTTTTACAAGTCGCTGTATGAAATAGAGTGCTTACATTCTTGATTGTCGACCGCTTATTCCTTGTATGAAGACTATATCATTATTATAAGTTAGTTTTCCATGCACAGACTAGTATTAACGGCTTTAGGTCAGATTCTTAATTTGTGAGTTGATGATACAATAAGTTTCTTTAAACAGACGTAGATGGAGCGGAATTTGAACTTGCTGCTCCATAACTGAGTGTCAAACGCTTTAATCACTGAGTCATCGCCCTACAAACATGAAAACCTAAAAACCATCAGGCTAATTTAAGAAAAAAAATGTTAGGTAGTTTCATTATCTGAAATTGAATACACATTACCCAGTTTCAAAATAATGTCTATTATGTACCAACTTAGATTGAACGTAGAGTTGTATTTTAACAGTCTAAGAGTTCAACTGAAAAGATAAACAATGAACAACTCGAAACACTTCTCTAGCACTTTGAACTTCACTATCCGAATAGTCTCAACATAACTGAATAACTTATTGGATTAATTTTGAAACTATATATGGTGATTTTTATTTAAACCGATAAACATATAGATTTAAGTTCTTTGGTCAAAAAATGGGATTCGTCTTATCAGTTGTTCTTTTTATCAATCAAATATATAATTATAAATAAGGACAGTCGATCCAAAAACAAAGTATCAGAGGTTGATAGAAAACTTTCGAATACGAAATTTAACATGGAAAAAGAAAACAATCAAGAAATATAACAAAATGGTTACTCAGTAACTAAATCCTACCTTCCGTTTCTTAGGCATGTCGTTTTCGGCTATATCCGAGAGCTTTAGATACTATAACTATGAACAGGACTGCAGTTGTTAGAATTCCATAATTTATAAGTAAAGAAAGTCCAACATGCATTCCAACATTAAAATCACCCGTATCATAACGTATGTATTTATTAGGATCTGACATAGCTTGTTCTAGTGTAACCATTTGAACTATTGGCAGGAATGTGACCAAACAACTGAACACAATAGCAGAAATAATCATGCTGCTTGGAATAGTATTACTCTAAACAAAATTTTCTGTGACGTTTTATATATAGAATATATTCCAACTTGCACAATGAAATGTATTTCTGTTCTCAAAACTTATAGTTGGATTGATTTAAACCAATCAGAATAAAGAACATCACTAATCTGATTGGTCAACGAATGGTGGTAGCCTGTGTTTAGTTTATTTATGTCTTAAATAGACAAAAAAAAGTTGTGCATCTAAAGACATGTAAATGAAGGACATAACTAACAGTCGAATAAGCACGGAATTCAGTTTTTTTTTGATAAAAAAAGAATTTCATTTAATCTGTTCAATTGATATTACTTGATCTTGTGATTAACACGTTCTTGTTCATAAGCATTCATTGATTTGATATGATTATCGCAAATATTATTTATTTGTTCTTTATTTTAAAAAATGTACAAAGTTTCTTGTATATTACTTACTTACTTACTTACTTACTTACTTACATACTCCTGTTACCCCGAACGGGGCACAGGCGGACGACCAGTATTCGTCGACCTGCTCTGTCCTCGGCTTTCCTTTCTTGTTCTGTCCGATTTTTATCCATTCTTCTCATGTCTGTCTCCATTTCTCAGAGTGATGTGTTCCCTTGCCTGCCTTCTCTCCTTTGACCCTAAGGGTTCCATGTCAGGACTTGTCTCGTGACGCAGTTGGGTACATTCCTCAATGTATGTCCTATCCACTTTCAGCAATTCTTCCCGATTCCCTCCTCCATGGGAATCTAGTTTGTTCTCTCCCACTGTAGATTGTCGGTGATAGTGTCTGGTCAACGGAACTATTAATAAACACTTGTCTCTTCTAGATGATGTCTTTGGTAACTTTCCAAGTTTCCGATCCATAAAGTAGAAGTGTCTTGACATTTCTAGTGGAAATTCTGATTTTGATGTTGATTGATAATTGTTTTGAGTTACAGATGTTCTTCAGTTGTAGAAATGCAGCCTTTGCTTTGCCGACCCGTGCCTTTACATCTGCATCGGATCCATCTTACTCAGCCGTGATGTTGTCTAAATATGTAAAGCTTTTTACGTCCTCCAAGGTATCTCCATCAAGCATGATTTGGTTGGTGCATGTAGTGTTATATCGGAGAGTCTTACTTTTCCCTTTACGTATGTTGAGACCTGCTTCAGCTAAGACTGCTGCGTATATTACCCTTTAGAAAATACCTGTCATATAATATATTTTATAAGTTCAGTCAGATATCCGTCTATTTACATTTAAGAAATAATTTTGAATAACTTCTTTCAATAAAAAAACAAATTCTAATTTGAGATTGTTTTAAGTAATCGTATAATATGTAACATATCATTTCATTTTACATTTCATCCTATTTACTGTTTCAATTAGGTCGTCTAATCTCATTTCAAAATGATCTATCTGTATTAGTTATTAGGTAGGTGGATGGTTTTAACAGTATTTATAAAGTGAGATTTAATCAACTACATATGTTGTATCCAGTTTAACAGATTCTACTATACGTTTAATAAATAAAAATGAACTTAAAAGCAAAAAAAATTTTTATTAGAATAACAAGAATTCATTTGATTTTGTTTAGTCTTTGTCATGTGATTACAACCTGTCACATTTAAAATCTTAACCTTAAAAACTGTTGAACTCGCTAATATAAATGAGTCTAGTTAGAATTTGATATAATTACACCTGAAGAGCTTTTAGGGTTACTTTTGGTTCCAAGTACGGATAAAGGAGGAGGGTTGGGCTTGGGGTAAGCCACCCTATCCCTAGGTAAACTAACTCGCTAAGAAAACGCTAACTAGCCAAAATAATTTAAATCCTTTTCACTCTGCCTTAGGTGTTGGAAGATATTTATTTAGAAGAGTTGTGACGTCTCATGATCAAAGGCGAGTTTCTTAGGAAGTCATGAGGCAGATGCCCCTTCTAACGACCAGAGTAACCATTATTATAGATACATGGAATGTCCATACGTTGTGGGGGACCAAGAGAACTATTCAAGTTGCTGCGGAAATGAAAATATACAACCTGGTGGTACTTGAAATTAGCGAAACCTGTTGGAACTGTGGAGTGAAAACTTGGAGAACCACGAAAGCCATCATTCATAAAATATAAGTGTTGACTAAGAATTGTCTACCCAAGATAATTTGGATCCGTTCGCCAGGTACTTTGAGTAGCAACCTAGTGTGGGAGAGGAGAAATCAGATTTCAGATGATGAAGATATTAGAGAAAAGTGCTGGAAGTGGACATACACATCCAACTGTGTGACGAGATAATCTCTCACTGGGAATCCTCGAGGCTAAATGAGAAGAAGGAGATCAAAGAACACATTATGTCGAGAATGAAAGACTGGATTATGAAGACGTCGACGTCTGGAGGGAAGCATGGTATCCAATGGACAGCTGGGACGCAGCTGGATGATTTGGACTTCGCAGATGACCTGGCTCTTCTATCGCACACGCAACAACAAATGCAACAGAACACGACCAGTGTAGCAGCAGCCTCTGCAGCAGTAGGTCTCAACATACATAAAGGAAAAAGCAAAATTCTCCGATGCAATACAACATGCACCAACCAAATCACTCTTGATGGAGATGTCTTAAAGGACGTTAACACCTTTACATATCTGGGCAGCATCATCGACGAGAAAGGTGGATCCGATGCAGATGTGAGGGCGCGGATTGGCAAAGCAAAGGCTGCACTTCTACACTTGAAAAATATCTGGAACTCCAAACAACTTTCATCCAAAACCAAAATCAGGATTTTCAATACAAATGTCACAAACCTGGAGAACTACGAAAGGCATCATCCAGAGGATACAAGTATTCATGAACAGTTGTCTTCGCAAAATACTTCGGATTCGTTGACTAGACACTATCAGCAACAACTTACTTTGGGAGAGAACAAACCAGATTCCAATGGAGGAGGGGATCAGGAAGAAGCGGTGGAAGTGGATAGGACGCACACTACGAAAAGCATCCAACTGCGTCACAAGACAAGTCCTGACGTGGGACCCTCAAGGCAAAAGGAAAAGTGGAAGGCAAAGGAACACACTACGCTGAGAAATAGAGAAAGTTATGAGAAGAATGAACAAAAACTGGAAAGAACTAGAAAGGGAACTCCAAGACAGAGTTGTTTGGAGAAAATTGGTGGGCGGACTATGCTCCGTTAGGGGTAACAGGCGTAAGTAAGTAAGTAAGTATGCAAAGAATCAACAGCGATTGGATAGAACTGGAAAGGAAGGCCTAGGGCATAGTAGGTTGCAGAATGCTTGTTGGTGGCCTCTGGTTCATTTGGGGTGATAAGCTCAAGCAAGTAAGTAACACATTAGTAGTTGCATGATGACAGGACGCTGATAATGAGAACAAAATTTCCTAAAGCTTAAAAAATTAAAATATGTTTACTGATCTAGAAGGCAATCGAAATAATTAGATGTAATGATGTGTTTCATTGAAAGATGGAGTTGGACAAAATCTTATAATGTAATTAGAAAAAAATCTTGTCACCAAGGCAAAGAAAGTTTAACGAACGTTTCTTTTTGAACACACATGGATTAGGTTTCAGGCAACTGATAGAAGTTGGAGCTTGACTACTTAGTCAATACTTTCAAAGCTTTGACAGGTACAATATCAAAATCTAGTTAGTTGATAACCCGGTTGATCTTTAGTGTTGTAATGTGATCAATAGTCTGAATGACTTGATATCGTGTGTACTATGTTGAGATGTAAGACAGCGGTTGAAGACAGTCGATAGGAAACCCTGTTTCACCAAGTTTTGTTAAACTTATAGTTCGTAGGTAGGGAACCTCAAAGGGACTGGTGATCCCTGTGGGATCTCATCGATAGAATTCGATCAAAACTAAAGGTCTCTATAAATATGAAATTCGTTACCGGTCAGTCTTCAATTTATTGTAAATATTTCAATCCTATGAGTGGTTGATTGCCACTTGTGGCAACGTCTGAGGAAGTGAAGTTGGTCGAATTCCAGAGAAAACAGCACTACTAATGATTTCAGATGTTAACTAAAATAAAACGAATCCTGATCTTTTATTGAGGACCCTGTATTAAATTTTATTGGTAAAAATATTATTCACAGTATAAATGTTACTTTCTGTAGTAGTCCTATCAGATGCAGAAGTACACGTTCCTTAAACTCGAACTCACACCCAACCTAGTACGTGGGTTACTTACTTAAGCCTGTTATCCCCAAATGGAGCATAGGTCGCCGACAAGCATTCTCCAATCTACCCTGTCCTGGGCCTTACTTTGCAGTTCCACCCAATCGGTATTCACTTTTCTCATGGCTATCTCCAAAACTCTGTGATCTTCTTTTCCTTCGGCCTTGAGGATTCCGAATGAAGGCTTGTTTTATGACGCAATTGGGTGACTTCCACCTCCAGCGATTCTTCCTTAGTACGTGGGTAAAAAGAACCAAAATCGAGTAGGAAGTTGTAAAGGGCCACTGCATAATCAATTTCGTCCAATAGCGTCTTTTTTTAAAAATTATGTTTCAATCAATGTGCTTGACCTTGAGATAGTGTGTGAGCATAAGCTTGTGATATGTCTGGTTTCATTCAGTCTATTAGTCTCTCTAATTTGGCGAGCGATATAACAGCATGTAGTTTACATTGGTCATTTATGAATCAGACACTGAAGAACACCATACTACGGAAAGGTTATGCTTCTTATAAAAAAAAATGTGTTTTAATAATAATCAATAATTTAAGAATACAAATACGTTGAAGCTTACAAAGATAATTGAATTATGCTCAGTTTATACTCTAATTGCTTACTTTACTTATTCACACGGCCGCCGACCAACATTCTCCAATCTAATTTGTCTTGAGCTTTCTTTTAGTCTTATTCTAACTCGCATAACTTGAATTGCTTCTTACTTACTAACAAGAAAAAATTATGTTAATTTGTTTATGTCAATTGCATTGAAAAGAACAGAAAAAAATAAGCGACCATCATGTGACAATGAAATCATCCTATGTATATTGTTGAATCAATACAAATGAACAGAATAAAAAAACAAACAAAACAAATGAATCAGAATTTAACATTGATTAGTTTCATTTTTATGCTGAGAAATAAATTTAAAGAAAGAAAATTATTTAGATTAAATGAATTATTATATTTATAAATGAAATCTTC